CGGGAGGGTTTAAGAGCAGAGATAGGACGACGCCGTCAGTCTCTGCCTGTGACCACATTATCTGGAAGCCGTGCTATTCGCTGCCGTACGTCTGCCTTTTGGCCATCCTGGGTCTCGCCACCTCTTCCTGAACAGCACAAAGACAGAAGTGCAAACACCGCTGCTCCCGAGCTCCTCGCTGGTCAGCTGACGGAGCCGAGCGCTCTGAGTCGCTCTGGGCTGAGACCAAAGATCTGAGCTCCTCAAACAGAGAGAAAAGCATGAAGACAGACGAGCTAGGACGGAGACGCCTCAAAGACAAAGGCGCGTCCTTTAAACGCGGAGCCAAATGAAGGAGGCAGACGTGTCAGTGCCAACCAACCATCGCCTCAGAGTCAGGGATGAGACATCGGTGTAAACACTGTACTCGCTCGTATCCATACTTTACACTGTGATGTAGGATTTAATGATACAGACAGACGAGCTGTGTGTGAGGCTGACCTGCTGAGGGGGCGTGGTCTGTGTGAGTAACAGATCTTCTTTGGAGCTTCCTTTTGTTCTGCTCTCTGGGTCAGACTCCGATAGAACCTCTCTGAGTTCAAAGTTCATCAGTTTATCAAAGATCTCCAACAGCACTGAAACCACGGCAGAGCCTCCGCCGTGCCTCACAGGTGGCTGCAGACTCTCACCTGCTCGTACGCACTGACCATGACGTGGATCCAGCGCTCCATCAGATTCTTGCCTCCAGCCGTCCTTCACTGACCGTTTCTGATGAGGTTTCAGATGATCAGTTGAAGGTTCAGCTCAATCACCTCAGACCTGTGTGCTGAGGAGAGCGTACGTGTTTTAGGAGGGTGGAGTTAAAGATGCAGCGTCGGTTAATGACTGAGTGACATCACCATGTACGCTGAGACTCCGCCTTCTCCACCGGCCCCGTAGACCCAGCGGGTACTGCTGGAGTTTCACTTTCAGCACTTTCAGGAAGAGCGCCTTTGTTTGCTGTGTTGTGGAATTTGAAATGGATAAAAGAGGAAGTGGAGCTCATTGAAGAAGGCGGAGCTTGTATTTGAGGGAGTTTTTCCTTCGCTGGCTGATTAAACTGAGCTGCTGTTTCTTTAGCGCTTCCTTCCTTTCATCACAGCAGAGGCAGAGACTGCAGTCACAGTGCTGCCTGTTGGAGGCGTTATGAAAGAGCGCGATCGATAAACATTATTAATACTGACTCAGCCGTGCGCAGCTCCTCACCCACCATCCTCACCCACCATCCTCACCCTCAAAGTCCTGCAGTTAACCCACTGTGGTGTATGTATGCCTCTGTGCCATCACACACACACGTTTGTCTTTGCTAAACTCACCTCTGCTCACTCACTGCAGGTGAAGGTCACTGTGTGTGTGTGTGTGTGTGTGTGTGTGTGTGTGTGTGTGTGTGTGTGTGTG